AAAAGAAGAGAGGAGGACATGATAAAGTATGGGAGGAAATGGACTCCTAGCAGGTGATCTACCAGCAGAAGTGGAGGAGGTGGCTGAAGAGGATCAAGGATGAGTCCAGGGCAAAGCCAGGAGGTCCGGATGTTCAGCATTATCAGTGGCTGTAAAGAGAGTCATGACTGAATTGTCCGACAACGAGTTGGAGAAGGTGAAGGACACAGCCGAAGAATGGTCAAACAACTTCACCTCCAAGATACAAGCACATAGTGGCTCGTAAGAAGGGACCAGTATATATGGAGCACTTTTCGAAGGAGATGTGAAGGCAATGTGGGATGAGAGTGTTTGTGATGTCAGTGTGGAAGAATGAACAGGGTGAGGTGCTGTTCGGGATGTAAGTCAATTTTGTCATCTCAGATCCTCGATCTCAATACATTTCATGCAGGCACGATGATAACGAGGCATTAGGAGATGGGGACAGTTTCATGAAGATGAAGGAGTGGGAGGACATCGAGCCAGTTTGGCAGGAGTATGCACAGGAACAATTTGGTGAGTGTTGAACTCTGGCTACTGGAATGAATTGGTTGATCTTCTTCATGATAGGTGCCAGGGCACGGGATGGAGGGTGACAGGTGATGGGAGGTCGAAAGAGAATCAGGAAGCCTGCTTTCGAACTCAAGACCAATGGGGATGGGATGCCGGTGCTTCCAGACATCACTGAAACGAAACTTGAGGAGAAGAAAGCCATAGTCAGAGCATTTCTTACATCGCACTATCGTGAGTCCATCGTCGCAACACCCAAACATTTGTTGAAACACATGTATACAGGTATCTGTTCCGGGATTGACAAGGCAGTTGTGCCATGAAGCGCTATCGTACAAAGTCAGGATGACTTTGTGGCAAGAAAGTATGTTCCGGTGGATGTAGACTTGAAGGAGCCATCAAAGTTGCAACATTGGGACATGACCGCCTTACTGAATTTCTGGTATGCTCGGCAGGAGAAAAGCAAAGGTCCAACATTCCTGTTCAAAGCATCGAAGAACAGAGATGGGGACATGGTAACCTCAGTTGTATCCGGGAATTCACCTTCTCATCAGACTCATAAAGTCAGAAGAGATATGATCCAAAGGCCTTGGAATTCGGAGACCGAAACTGACAGTGATCCCGAGACCGATCACAAGGGTGATCCCAAGAGTAAGCCCAAGGGTGACACTCATGATATGGAGGATGATGCTGGTGATGACGCAGCAGAAGGTAGATCCCCGCAAAAGAGACCCAGAACAGAGCCTGGTCCTTCAACAGCACATGAAGGGACCGCTGTCCCACATGCAATTCCAAAGCCTTGCCCGGTCAATGCAGAGAAAACTGGTGCACTGCTGACATCGCGAATGGGCAACCTCCCGGCTGGACTGACTGAGAGAGTCACCGGCAATGTTCAGGAGGATGGTGCAATCGAAGGAGTCAATAGGTCACCGGCACTGAAAAACATGCGGGGAAAGAAAGCAGTGATTGAGTCATCGGCGAGGACAACCCAGAGTAAGTCAACACAACAGCCATTGGACACTAGCCCTCGAGTGACCAGAGCGAGGGGAAAGAAGTAATGGACTTACAGTGGCTCAAAAAACTGTCCACATGTTTTCACATTTTTCACTATCTATGATATTGTGTGAGAATATACAAACACATCAAGGACATGCTGGTACCATATTGTAGTACTACTTCAGGGCTTCCAATTGAGCCCTATGGCGTGGGAATTGGTCGAGATATGGTGGAGATATGAGGCTTACAAAATGATGACTCATGCGGACAGTTTTTTGACTCAAGTATTTTACAGTGATAATCAGGTATTCTAGTACATTGTGTGACCTCCCTTGGCTTTAATTACTGCCTCTATCCTTCTAGGCATACTCTTAAAACTATATCTAACTATATAAACCAGAATGTCTCATGTGTCATGGTCATAATTACCATGAAAGCCATCTCCTCTACTCAAAGGGATAATATCTTCTCTTTGTCCTATGCTGGCCTCTCTACTCATCAAATTTCCTCTAGAACTGAAGTATGCAAGTCTACTGCAGCCAAGTGTATCAAAGAAAGCCACCTGGACAAGGAAAACTCTTGTGGAGGATGTCCACCTCTGCTAATAAGGGGGCTATCATCCAACATATCACTACAGGAAAGGCTAATAATGCCCTCCAAGCCACCCATTATACCAATTCCACCATCACCACCACTGTCTCTTCACAAACTGTGAGGAATGTTCTCAAGGCAGCTCATCTCAAGGCAGTAACAAAGAAGAAATGCCTCTTATCTCTATTAAACATAGGCTGAAAAGACTACCTTTGGCTTGGCCCATCAAAACTGGACTGTAGAGGACTGGAAGCATGTTATATGTTCAGATGAGACCAAAATCAATAGGATTGGGTCAGATGGGAAGGTATATGTATGAAAAAAGAAGAGGGATTTTCTAACAGACAGAGAGGTTAGTGAGGCTGTCAGATTTGGAGGAGGTTCTCTAATGGTATGGGGCTGTATGAGATGGAATGGTGTGGGTATGCCCACTGAAGTTGAGGGGAGGATGGATGCTGAGCAGTATGTGGACATTCTAAATGACCACTTGCTGCCTAGCATAGCTGACTCAGGGATTGATGAAGAAGACATCATTTTCCAACAGGATAATGATCCCAAGCACACATCTAGGAGAGCCAGACAATGGTTTAAAGAACATAATATCAATGTTCTTGACTGACCAGCACAGTCCCCTGATGTCAATGTCATTGAACATCTCTGGGGAATACTCAAGAAGATGCTTCAAGCCTATGAAACCCCCCTAAAGGAGTATAGGAGCTATGGGAGAGAGTAGCAGTGGAATGGGCAAGGATTACAGCAGAATATTGCCAGAAATTGATTGAGAGTATGCCTAGAAGGATAGAGGCAGTAATTAAAGCCAAGGGAGGTCACACAATGTACTAGAATACCTGATTATCACTGTAAAATACTTGAGTCAAAAAACTGTCCGCATGAGTCATCATTTTGTAAGCCTCATATCTCCACCATATCTCGACAAATTCCCACGCCATAGGGCTCAATTGGAAGCCTTGAAGTAGTACTACAATATGGTACCAGCATGTCCTTGATGTGTTTGTACATTCTCACACAATATCATAGATAGTGAAAAATGTGAAAACATGTGGACAGTTTTTTGAGCCACTGTATACTACACTGCTTGCCTTTACCTGCTATTATGTACATGTCAATGTGATTCAATCATATCGAATAGAGTCCCGACTATCGAGTCCCAAAACCCGAAGCCCAAGATTTGAGGAATGAATCCCGACTACCGAGTCCTGAACATCGAGTCCCGAACATTGAATCCCGACTATCGAACACCGAGTCCCGACTATCGAACACCGAGTCCCGACTATCGAGTATCAGTATCGAGTCCCAAACATCGAATCCCGACAATCGAACACTGAGTCCCGACTATTGAGTATCAGTATTGAGTCCTGAACATCAAATCCTGACAATCGAACACTGAGTCCTGACTATCAAGTATCAAGTATAGAGTCCCAAGTATCGAACATCGAGTCCCGAACATCTAAAATCCCGAACATCGAACATCAAGTCCCAAGTATCAAGTCCCGAAACCCGAAGCCCGAGATTTGAGGAATGAATCCTGACTATCGAGTCCCGACTACTGAGTCCCAAACATCGAGTCCTGAATATTGAATCCCGACTATCTAGTATCGAACATCGAATCCCAACCATCAAACACCGAGTCCCGAACATTGACCATTGAATCCCGACTATTGAACACCAAGTCCTGACTATCGAGTATTGAGTATAGAGTCCCAAGTATCGAACATCGAGTCCCAAACATTGAACATTGAGTCCCGAACATCGAACATGGAGTCCCAACTATTGAACACCGAGTCCCGTACGATGCCCGGTGACATGCATTGAAAGATCCGGTAGTGTACATGATGTGGGGATATCAATGAAAATTCAGAGGTTGTAATAAGGTAATTTACATAGTCATTTGTTCTTCAAAGTGTTGAATCATGGAATCTACTACCTTGAGCATTTCAATGCTCATCTGTTCAACTCTTTGCAACCTCTGCAGGTCTGCATCAGCTTTTTTCAGTTTGTCGGAAGTTTCCGCCCAAGCAGTTTGGAATGGTCGCTCAGCCTCCATTAGTTGTTGGATGGAAGGATCAGGAAGACCTCCAGTACGGCATTTGTAATCACCGAGTCGATCTCAGACAGATTGGTCTTGCAGAAAGATTAGCAAAAAGATAAATGCTCTGCTTTCAGATACTCACATTCTGGGTGTTCGTATTTTCCGAAAGGATGGAGCTCCCGGACCATCAAATGTACATCTTTGACATCGAGCTCCGGCTCATCTGCACGAAGTTCAGTAGATGATTTGGCGGCTTGGGAGATACAATAAGTATCAATAAACATCTGGAATGAATAGACCCACATGAAATAGACACCTCTGATATAGCCGGTGCAAAAGTGGGAGGATCAGCAGAATCCGGCAACTCATCAACATCAATGACATCATCCTCAGGCCCGAGGTACAAGTCTGGATCAATGAGACAGCCGGCATCATCAGCCTCACCCAGATGTGATTGATCTTCAAGGGTGAAGTTAGCATGGATGGTGAACGCTGATCATAAGGAATGTATAAACATACCAGGCATTGCAGCCAATGCATCCGGTGGTCCGGATGACATAGAATCATATTCTATGTCATCATCCGGCCCAAGGTATAAGTCATCTAAGTCATCTGAGGGATACCCAGTAAATTGATAAGGAATGATAAGAATACAACATACCTAGTGATACCCGGCCCATAGATGAGTCATCCACATCCATAGAATTATAGTCGGTCACCAGGGGGTCATTAAATCTAATGGCTGGATGGGAACTCATGTGGTGTGGAGAATTGGTGGACTGGTTGACTGATGATTGAAAAAACTTCGAAGTTCAACACACAACCGGCAATTGCCGAAAGTTGAACGATGACCAAACAAACACAAACAATCAATGATTTTATCGATCGACCATCAAATGTCTTGTTTGATTTGAAACTTCATCTTTCTGATAACTGATCTCAATCTGATTTCAAGATCTTTAAATCTCAAAACTCACTCATCATGTCTACTCCAGTTGCCGACTCTTTGACTGATCTCAAGAATTCCACTGCCCAGATCATGGCCATCATCAGCACCGCCTGGCAGATTCCCCCAGGTCCCAGCCACTCAGCTCTGGGAAAACAGGTTGGTACACTTGTGGTATGTATTTTTTTTTGTGTTTTTCTTTTCGTCTCTAACATCCAGGTAGTCTAATGTAGCAAAGGAGTATGGGTCCAGGGATGGTCCTATTCCCGGACTCATCATTTCGTGCCTCAAGGAGCTACACCGCATCCAGGAGCATGGTTCCCAAGGTCTGGCCCGACTGGCACACCATCGGGTATGACGATCCCCACATTTTGAGGCACCCCTGGCACCCCAAGGTCCTCGCCTGGGAGGCCATAGGTGACCGGACCTTTGATCTCCCAACTGCTGCCCCCCCCATCCACAGGTCCAATTCCAGTCAACCTTCCCTCCCCAGCCATCCCTACTGGCAATGTTGCCAGCCCTTCCACCAACCCCACCACTGAGTTCCGGGACAAGGGGAAAGGTAAGGCCGTCTTCGCTGACCCAGGAGCCTGAGGCAGAAGGCAGTAATAAGAGGAAGTCCCCCTTGATTTTGGGACCACCCTCCCAACCCCCGAAATCTGCGATGAAGAGTCACAAGCGTCTGAGGTCAGCTCGCGTGGTGAAGTCCAAGCCCATGGTGGAGTCGGAAGATGAGGAAGACACGATTGTCAAGGTATGTCGTCTTGTTCTTCTTTTACTTGTCTCACATTTTCTTGCAGCCATTTTCGGGTGGAGCGCCAGAGGTCGTCGTTCCCCTGCTCTCCACAGTTATCGCAAGGACGCCCAATTTGCCTCGATCACCCAGGGTTCCGACGAAGAAACCCTTTGGCCCTGCCATGGTAAGTCACGCTTATGCGTCCGGGACTCAGGTGTATGCTTACTGTTTACCAGGTGATTGCTGGAAGTCGAACAGCAGTCGTCAAGCCCTCCTGGCCAACTCCCAAACCCCTGGTGCAGGCACCCCCGGTCATCCCTGCAGTTGACATTCTCATTCCTGGACCGGTGAGTACTTTTATATATCTCAAGTGTATCCATACACTAATACAACTCACAGAAAAACCCATGCTACGCTTGCAACAAGCTACAATGGCCTTGCGCAACTCGGATGGACAAGAGGACTGAGGTTCCATGTATGTCAGTGCATCTACTGCACGACAAAGAAGATCAAGTGCACCCCTGCGTCTATGGGATCCCCGCCTCCTCACAGTGGTGCCTCCTCTACCACCTGGAAGACGAGGTCCAGGACGCCATCCAGGGCTCCCTCCAGGGCTCCCTCCAGGGCTCCCTCCAGGGCTCCCTCCAAGGCTCCCCCCGCGTCCCAAACCCCCGCCCCCTCCCAAGCTCCCCCTGCCTCCCAATCCAAGGCCCGAACTCAAAGTCAGTCTCGTGGCATG